ATCGTAAGCTCTAGAATTTGTACTGATCACTGCACTTAGGCTCTTTGCTGCACCAGCAGAATGGCTGCTGAGTTGGAGAAAATTAACGAGGAAGGTGTAGTGACATTAGCTGCTCTGGAAAATCAAGATGGTACGAGAACTTGCAATTCCCGTTTGACTAAGCGAATAGCAAGGACTTCTCAAATATTTGATGCTAACCAGTGATGGATTCATTTGTGATTTTCGATTCATATAGAAGGAGATTCCGACAGAGACTGTTCCTTCAAGCGTGTTGTTTTTTTCTTTGCTCATCTAAATTCCTGTCTAAATTCTTAACTAACCAACATAAACTATATTTTGGTTATTTTGGAACTTCAGCATTATTTGAGACGTTTGCATCTGGTCAGGAGTACTATCTCATTCTTTTAGTAGTATGCTTTCAGAGCAACTTGATAAGTTAGAGTGCAACCTTCACCAGATCAATGATGACATATCGGCAGTGAAAAAAGACATTAAAAAAATGGAGCGGTGTTGCTGTTTCCATTTCCTCTGGTAGATATCTGAACTACTTTCAACTCCCTTCAAATTCATTGGAATTTGTAGGCTGAATAGGCACATTTTAGTCTACCTATAACAAGATTTCGGAAAAACAAGGACAGAGAGGTTAGGGAAAGGACTGCCGCATCGTCTATCATTTTCAAGCATAGAGCGTCTCTAGTGAAACGAAGAAGTGGTGCTTTTATCCCAAGGTTTGCTCTCTGGCTCTATGTTTATGACAACTGAGAATTTTGGTATCATTTAATTAACAGAAGTAACAATATTTTCTTCCAGGTTGACCGAAGATGCTATAGAACATGAAATTGAGGACAATCTTCGCCAGGTGGATGAAACTCTGAACTCGATTAAGCATTTGGCCGTTGATATCAACGTACAACTGAGCATCCAGGAACCAAAACTCGACAGAATTCAGGAATTGGTAAGGAAATTCTTTGCAATCTTTTTGTTCTAATTCGTGATATGTACCTTATGTAGATTGAAAACAGCGACTTAGCCATGGGAGGAGCTAACGCCAAAGTTAAGAAGTTGCTTTCGGAGTGAATGTAGTGTAAAAATTTTCATATTCCTGTCTGCTTCAGCATATTACGTGTACGTTTATTTTCCTTGTTTCACATTTTTAGGATCTCACAGTTGACCATGTTCTAAATAAGGGCCGTTTTTCATTTCAATCTTCAATTCACGTAAATGTCATGTTCATTTTCATACATCAAGATATGAATGGCATATATGACTTATTTACATGACTACTTTACGCATGCTTCAGTTTACAAGTAAATAACGATCCGTTTTCGTGTTGCAACATTCCTTCGAATTCAATTCTTAGGCGAACGAGTAGAAGTAGCGATGAGCTCCATAACGGGCTAAAATACGAGGAAAACCTAAGCTCGGTTGATCCAAATAGGTGTCTAGTCAGGGGCTGAACTCACCAGCAGGGAGGTAAACGTCAGCCCAGTCTTTACCATATCTACCGTATGCCGATGGTGTAATCCACTTCTTATCAAGGGTTTCAAAATCAATAGTACCATTGCGATACATGTCGATAGCGCGCTTAATGTTGGACCTGGAATAGAGCTTCGTCTTTTGGCACAGAAAAAAAAATTAAATGTGCGTATGGAGCTGCACTGAGAAATACATTATTAGGATTACCAATACCGCAAGCTTATCTATGTGCAAAAATACTTCGTTCATCCTTCTTCCAATCTGCAACTATTTTTCTGCCCGTATAAGAGAACTCACCTGTCCATTTGCCATGGTCGCCAACTGTTCCACAGGGGTCTGTCGTAGTTGGGATCGCGATGGCGGCGCCAGTAAGTGGGATTCAGCCAATCCACGTACCACTTATAACGAGTCCTGTGATATTTCGTTTGTTATATAATTGTAATGATATGTTTTATGAGAAGTTAGTGTATGGATTAAAATTCTCAAATACGATAAATGTAAAAATGTAATATGTTGATAAATGTAATCTATCACTGTTTGAGTAATTCCTGCAACTTATAAAAAATAGTGTGAATTGTTTAAGGCGGACTACAGACGTCAGATTGAGCCGATGTGTTTACTGAGAAATATAGGAAGGTTTAGGGAGTTTCCTGTCATAGACCTCGGTCATCCGGTAATCTTGGTCATGATGAAATTTCAGAGCAATGCGTTGGGAGTTGAATACTGTTAGGGCAAAGTAGAGTAGAAAAGTAGATTATAGCGCGTGGATTTTTGAAACACTTTTGTCATAAGATGATTGAACCTGTTATACTACACCATACTCATTCCGTAGACAAAAAACACTCACCAGTAATCAGGGTACGTGAACCCAAGGCTGTGTGGAATAGGATCAACATAGAGTGCGCGGCGAGCCGCATAACGATAAGTCGGCCAGTAGAAGGGAGTGTAGAATGTATAGCGATCAACGTTCCAGTCTTCAAGCTGAAAAAAAATTGTATAGAAAAAGTCGAAAATTACTTAGTAAACTGTAAATTCAATCGCTCTGCACTGCTATTATTTTCTGCGAAGCGCACTTCGACATGCATATTGTGGGGATAGCAAGCGTGTTGTGTTACACATCTTCTACGCGATTCCCTTGAGCGTTTTGCCGAAAAACTAGCTATTGATGAAGTTACACTTTTGCCACTTAACGATGAGAGCGTTAAGCTGGATGAATGTTTGTGATTGCTTTGTTATTGATATCCTCCAAATTCACGTTTTTAAATAGATGAGCTGCACAGTATCTAAATAACTTATCTGGAGCGTTTTAGGATGCATCTTATCAATGTCTTGCAAACAATGGTTAGCGACTTTTGGTGTAAAAAGTAAATCAATGCGTTTAGAGGTACAATTGAGAGGGAAAAAACTTAGAAGACCCGATAATGACGAGCGGGAGTCTAGAAAAAAAACGGAAGACAATCGGATAGCGATGTGATGCTGAATTCGAGAATGTATAGAAGATATACTTTATATTCTAG